TCTGGTTGAAGAAAGAACTTCAGACTATTTACATCTGGGTAAGTTATGATACTCTCTTCAATGCTGCCATTAGAACCATTTGGTTGGACATAGACTTCATGATGTATTATTGCATTTTAATGTTTTAAAACCCATCAAGATCCAGATATTTGTGAAATTCATATGAATGGAAACAACTATAGTTGAGGAAAAGCTACTTCAGAAATCAGTGGGAAAACAATGCCTATTCCCAAAAAAACAATAGGATTCATGTCCTCCTTATAATTGCCATGCGATTATTTGGATAGCTGACTATTATTAAAAATGGAGCGGAGAATCTGTGTGGTAGTTTCTCTGAATGTAAAACATTGCAGGGCTCGGGACAGGGACAGTGCACCCAGACCTCTTCAATGAGATAAAGTGGTCTGGGTGCCTGTAGTGTCCCTTTAAGTTGTGAGATTGCTGTACTTTGTAAGGAACAAACTCCTTGGCTACAAAGTCTGTGCGTCACTTTATTGACAGATGGGCTGGATGTGAATTTAGGACTAGACAACAGTGTCTTTCACTTAAGCCAGATAGGAAGCAGGTTAATAGCATAAAAATGATAGAGCACTCAGTATTCCTTGTAGGGTAGTTTATTGCCACATGCAACATTTCAGCTCACACTGAGATTTTCTGGTGTGAGATCATTTGAATGCTATTGGTTTCAGAACTTGGTTGCTTCAGATCTCATGGCAAATGTCCGCTCAGTGACTGGATGAGTCTTCAACAGGGAGTAGAGAAATGACATGATCAGTATTGACATTAGCAGCATCAAACCAGATAGAGAGTAGATTAATGGCATGAAAGAAATGGACAGGACCTGCACGCCAAGGGAGGGATAGGACTATAGCACATAGGCTAAGTATCATTTGCTTCCGCTGCACACCTTCTCTGATCTTCCTAGAAGATTAATTACTAATGAAGCAGAGTTTGCTTTACGCAGAATTTTGTAACCAAATAAAGGCTCATAAATAAATGCCCCTTGTATGTACTGTTAAATATGTTGGCATTCTTAGCAGTTGTTTGACCTTCTAAGATCTGGACATCATGTATACAGATGAGAAAACAATAGGAAATCTTTGGAAACATTTGCCCAAAATGACACTCAATGATATTACTCCAGAAAAGATTTCACAAAGGCCTGTCCTTATATTAACACTGGCACAGTCATTATGTTCGCAATCGCAAGCATGTGAAATGGGAAGATATACATTTGAATCAAAAGTGCTGTTCTAAATCTTGAAGGAACTGGCTTTATATTGTTGTCAATTATGGGATTTTGTTACCACTCATTGATCTGAGGAAGTTTCACTTTCTCGTCACATATTAGCCCTTAAAGTGAAATATTCCACTAAAAGAAGAACTAGCCACTGACTAGTTTTGTCCATGAGATGGAGATGGTTGGAGACTAAAGATCCAGACAGAGTTTGCTTCCATTTTGTAGAGACACAGCCAGCGTGACATGCAGTCAAAAGATAATCATGCTTGACAAAGGCTCCATTGGAAGTCGAAACGTTGCACTGTTCCACGTGTTTTAATAAAGGTGTCTGAAGACATTGGAGTGCCTGGACCCTTTTTCCAATACTGGTATTTATTATCTTCTGGGCTCATGCTGGCCCTTGGTTCAGCTAAGCACTCTGTCTTTAGTGAAGTGAGTGTGGTTCCTTTTCCATTTTTGCAATGCAATCAAAAGATATCATAAGACAAAGTACGGACTTGGTAATAGGATTTTTATGGTAAAATCCTCCACATGACAAATCCTGTTAGTTGTGGGAACAAGGCATTCTCTCTGGATATAATATCTATGAGATTCCTGTAATCTCATGGGATCCTCCATAGACATTAGTTCCAAATTCCAATGCACTAAAGCACTACATATTGCAGAAGTAAAGTAATATTATATTACCATTATGGAGAGTGTCTGAATACCTGGAAACTAATTTGGTCTAAGACTACCCTGTTCCCACAATCCATTAGAAGCTAAATAATCTGCAAACATATCTCCAGATGGTATTAAAATAATACTACAACTGGAAGCCAGTACAAGTACTTGAACCAATATCCCATAAACCCCCGCTGAACATAGGATATTGTGCATACTTACCTCTTACACTGAACATGGGAATCCAATAATTAGCTGGGAACGTTTTAATAACTGGGCAAAGATTATTGCAGTACCATCAAATCCTGATAATTTACATGACTGCTGACCCAGACATTGCCCCAAATAGCAACAAGATGCCTGGGTACTGGATAAGGGCAACGGCCACAGCTTTATTTAAATCAAATAATGAGCCAGCATTCCTTACACCTGTTAGCTGTTGGGGTGATTGCCCAACAGACAGATAACCCATATGTTCTCCAGACTACTACAGAACCTGCGTTTCGCCATCAGCCCTAGCACTCGCGAAGCCAACTTGACACTTCTATCACTTGCGCTGGCAAAAGGGAAAACCGCATGCTGTGACAAAATGAAGAACAGAAAACTACAAAACACCATAACAATGACCACCAAAACTGAGGGAGGATTTTCAGGAAATTCAAGAACCGAAAATGTGAGAGTTAACTTTATTTTGTAATACTTTTATTTAATTCATGTTGCATGTATTCAATTTAGTCGAGTGTCTCTGTAAATGCTATTACCATTCTATAAATAAAGAAAATCTCTTTCTTTCTTATATTTATTTATTTATATGTATGGCTATTGGCTAATTATTGTTATTACTTCTACTATAGTATTAAAAAGTATCATTAAATTAATAATAATTCATTAAAAATATATATTTTAAAAAAAAACAAAGAGTGTCAGTAGAAAGCCAAGGTAACTAAAGTCTCTCTCCCTCTCCAGTCTCCGCTCCCCAATAAATTAAAAATAAATGAAAAATATAACTGGCCATGTTCAGTGTGCGCCTGGGTGGTGTGTGCTGCTGTGCACACACAATTCCATTTGTACAAAATGTAATTCCTGAAACGAACCTAATGGGTGAATTTTGTTCGAAAATAATTACACCAATGGCTGAAATTTGGTTTGGACGAAACTAAATTTATTTATTTTTGAACGATTTAATTCAGATGAAACAAAAAGTTTGTGGGTGCCGAAGTATATTCTTTATTGTTGCTTTGATACATAAAATCCTAAGAGGCCATCTGTCTTTCTACACCTCCTGATATCAGCATTTTGCTAAGACACACGCAGTCTCTGATTTTATTTATAGCATGCTAAGAGGTATTCTGTAACTGGAAGCAGTCTGACATCTTTTCTTGCAGGCCCTACAACACTCGTGGGGTTAATGAGGAATTTTCTGCCTTTTGTTTAAGCACAGCTTCTCTAATCTAATTTTAATAGCATTTCCCCAGTGAAAGCTAATTTCTAATGGAGACCGGGAGATAGAGAGAATAACTACGAGTACCTTCTAAAACTGATCTGCATCAGGGTAAGCAAAATATGCAGCTATTGCATAAAGAAACAGCCCCTTATGGCTCAGGGGAAACAGAAAACACGATAAAACTGACACTGTCCTCTATCAGCTTCTACATTTGGCAACAATGCCATCAATCCAGTCTGATTTTCTTTCTGCGAAGAGAATAGAGCTTATGCTGATAAGACGCACTCAATAACACTGTAACACTGTAACATTGTACCCAGCCTGAGTGTGCCAGAGGGGTGAGCAATGCCCTCATGTGCTTAACCATTTCACTGCCAAGTTATTTACAAATAAAGTACCATCCTAATCCTATTTTTCCATTCTGGAAAGTAATGTGCAAGTTTATTTTTTGTAAATATATCACCTTACAGACCCACCATTCGTTCTGATTGGACCTCTCATCCAGGTGATATATGTAACTGGGCATCTCATTCCAATTTTCTGGGGCCTCATATATCTGAACTACGTGAGAGCCTGCTCACCCTCCTGGACACATTTTCTGTCCTTATGTGGGGATTAAAATGGCAGCAAATGCTATTTTTCTACACAAAAAACTGTTGAATCACAGCTGACTAAAGAAATTTTGTTGTGAGTCATTGCGCAATATTGTTTTCCATTCATACCGACTGCTAAGCTCCATCTTCTGAGACCACACTGTCTAAGTAGCTATATGCATGCATATACATAATTAGACACCACTTACATAAATAGCCATTTATACGCATCTAATATGCCACTCATTGTAATGTTCTAATCCCTCTCACCTCTTTTATACTTTCCCTAATGTAGGGGGAGCAGTAGAGATGTTGCTCCGCACAAAGAAGTATTTTCTCCTCTTTCTTAGTACATTACCCATTAACAGGTACCGGTAGCCAGGATGTGACCTCAAATATTAATGTTTGGGAAGCTGACAGTAATGGATCTCACCACAAAGTCTACTTTTAAATCTGTTTGCAACAAATACCATTGTGCCTGCCATTATTGAGTCCAACGTGGAATAGATTGGACAGCAGTGTCCAATTTGGGTCACACTGATTTGTTTTTTTTCATTTTGAGTTACCTTTGAAGAATTTGATGCATCTGCACTCCTTTAGTAATCACCAAATATTATCATGAGTTTTCTGTACCAGCCCTATTGATGGCCATCTTACTTGATTGCATATTACACCTACGTGGTTATATTTCAATACGTCTTCACATCCAGCTTGGGTTTGCTTGAACATCTCTTAACCCAGGGCCAGATTAAGAGCCCAGTGGGCCTGGTGCTGACAATTATGATGGGGCCTAATTACAGAATTGTCACGGCCCCTGGCTCGCCACAAGGTGCGGTCGCACCGGACCAGTGTGACTGCGCCAACGAACTGAGCTTACCTGCTCAGTGGCGAGTCGGGAGCAGCTCTGCTGGGTTCTCCTGGCTGCCTGCCCGGGTTCAAGATGGTGCCGAACACGCGGTCGCAGCCAGATATAGCTCTGCCTCCCAGGGTCACACACACGTTCTGCAGTCAGAGGCCAGAGGGATATTTAACCTAGGTTATTACCCTGTCGTGGTTTTCATTCCTGAATCCTGAGAGTGCGTTTTCTTGTCCTGTTTTTGATATTCCCAGTATTTTGACCTTGGCTATTCCTGACTATTCTGATTCCTGGCTTCTCTGACTTGGCTTGTTAAATGGTATTGTATATTTCTGGCTCCCTTGACCATTTTCTTTGTTTTTAATGTATTAGTCCGGCCATTCTAAGGACCGGTTTACGTTTTATCATTTTCTGTTCTGTCTATGTAGATGTTACATAGTTCTGCGTGCTGGACCACACTAGCAGTCATGACAAGAATCTAATCGACCATAGACACTAAAACAGTCATACCTCTCAAGCGTCAAGTATCTAATTGAGATGGTGTTGGAGGGAAACTCAAAGGATGCAGCTTTAAGAAAACACATACTCTATGCTAATCTCTCTCTAATTTATGCTTTAATCTTTCAAGTAAATCCATACCCCCTAACAGCAGTGTCCAGTGAAGCAGGAAGTCAATGGGGACACTGGGAGAAATGGGGACACAGACACTAGGGACACAGACACTGGAAGACATGGGGACACTAAGACACTAGGGACACTGAGAGACATGGGGATACTGGGACACTGGCTTGGAGGCATGGAGACATAGGCATGGAGACACTTGGGGACACTGGGAGACATGGGGACATTTGGGGACACTAGGGACACTGAGAGACATGGGACACAGACACTGGGAAACATGGGGACATTTGGGGACACTGGCTGGGAGACATGGGGACACTGAGACACTAGGGGGACTGGCTGGGAGACATGTGGACACTGGTTGACATGGGGACACAGACATTTTGGGACACTGGGAGACTAGGGGACACTGAGACAATAGGGACACTGGCTTGGAGGAATGGGGGCATTGTGTCCCATGTGTCTCTGTGTGTCCCCCAATGTCCCCACGTGTCTCAGCATCCCCATATCTCACAGTGTCCCCTAGTTTTTCAGTGTTCCCTAGTGTCTCAGTGTCCCCGTGTCTCCCTGCTGCCTTTCCCCCCATACTTCACTTACCTGGCTTGTAGGCTGTCTCTGTAGACTGGGAGCTGCTGTATGAACTCTCTGTGCTGTGTAGCTGCTCCCCTGCGGATCAGTGAGTATAGATAGGCAGGGAGGGAGATGCTGTAACTTCCTATCCCTGTCTGTCTCCACACACAGTGACCCCTACTGGCCAGTGCTGGTATTACAGAGTAATTTCCTTTTATACTGAGAAAAATACCTGCATTTGTATAGCCAGTATCACTGCAGGTAAGCCTCAAATACTGGTAAAATACCAGTCAGGTGGCAAACCTAAGAGTAGTGTGTGTAAAAAAAAAAAATTTAAAAAAAAAGTTTTTTTTTTTTTTTTAAATGGGCCTATTCCATGGGCCTGGGCCTGGGCCTGGAGCTGCAGCTCCATCAGCCCCTATGTTAATCCGGCCCTGTCTTAACCTAGTTGGTAAGATATGATTTGTCTTCTCATTTAATGACCTCACAATTAACACAAAAGTACCTAATAATAATAATAAATACAGTGCGAGATTCACGTTTGCTCTATAACTTTTTTTAATTCTTTATTTTATTAGTGCATGTTATTACATATAAGCTTGCGACGCCACAACAGCATTGACAAGCGCAATACAAGATCGCAGGTTAATACAGTGTCATGGCAAGTTAAGAGCTGAACATTTTTATGGGTTTAATAAACAGGCTTGATCATAGGTCTGCACTTAAGACCAGAGAGAATACAGGATAAATATTAGTACCACTAGCAGATGATAAACAAGCTTGGTCAATTTTTTGAAGACATTGACATAGTGTATAGGCACAAACTTCTACATTTCTAGTGCAGCTTGGAATGTGTCCTCATCGTTCAGGAATTAAAACATGGAGTATGGTCCTATATGAGATAGGTGGTCAAGCTCTATATGCTACAAGCTGCACACATTGAGGGTATACTGGCTTCGTCAGTGTGCCTGAGAGTGGTGCCATTGGGTCATGAGTATCACAAAGGCAACAAAGCATAAGAAAAAACACGAGTAACTAAGAAAAAGAGCAAAAAACATGAGGTATCAAACAGTTCTGGTCACCCAATGCCTCGGATGGGCCATGGTAGAAAGTTCATCCCCATATCAGGATCTAGGGTCCGTAGTGGGGAGAGTGCCGCTACTTCCAGGGACTGCTCACCCAATGCCTAATGTTGGTATCCGGTCTGCCCAGGGGAGCAGAAGTGTAACTGCGAGCCCCCCACCCCGTGTCCCAAGGCAGTCCGAGGTGCTTACGTTCCGTGTTATGGCTCGGTGGGCAGGCTTGATTCATGCCGGGGGGGTACTTTGTACGTGCCTGAGTATGGGACTTCCGAGGTGCCTGTAGAGGTCTCTGGGCTCCCAGCTTAGGGAGGCAGTAGCAGGTGTGAGGCGCTTTGGGTTGTGAGTGGGCAAGCTTGAGGTGGGCTTTCTTCCCCTTGCGCGTCTTACCCGCAGGAGGTTTTCGTGGCTTCCCTCTATTGCCGTCCCTTGGGTATGCAATGTTATGAGGCAAGCTCCGCTGGCTATGCTGCCTGTTCCTTTTGTGGTTCAGGTAGTGCAGGGACTCTGGTTCGGCCCTGAATGCGAGTCCAGAATTCCTGGCATATCCTCTCAAAACGGGCATTGAAGCGTGCCTGCCAGCACTGGCTCTCTGTTTCAGGAGGCCTACTTCGGAGCGGAGCCTGCAGCTTGGGGGAGGCAACCGATCCCCCGACACAGGACATGCTCGCAAGCAAACAATCGACACGGCCCTGCAACCCCCCCTCTGGACCAGTGGGGGATATCCCAGTCCTCGCTGGGGCCGACTACCCCCGCACTACAGCCTGACTGCAACACTCCCGCACAAGCGGGGCATCGGCTGAACGGGCCACACTAGGGATGCACCAGCCCTCCACCGCGGGGCGCAGGCAGGTCTGAAGACTGACACGCGAGCTATACATACTCGCACGCCGGGACTTTCTCCTGCAGACACCGCTGACCAGGTCTTACCTAGTATGCACCCTTCAGATGCATCTGAAATAATGCTACTTTATGTTCTTTTATATTTTAAGTTTGCATATATTACATGTCCAGTTAATAACAATATGTTGCTGACTTAATGCCATGCCTACAAGGAACTGTTCACAGCCTGCTAGGCAGGGTAAAAACAGATCTAATTGCACGTTAGAATTAAAGCTTGTTGATAGACCGACGCAGGGTGACCCTTCCGTAACCCAACTCAGTGGATGGGCGATGCTAGCCAGCACTCAGACTGTTTATGTACCTATAGTATGTTGCTAGCCTAGGTTTTCCATGCCTACTAGCCTAAACACCTACAGCATAAAGTGTCTACGCATAGTTATGTAAACTTAAGCTATAAACAGGCTTCAACAGTTATATCCTTAACTTCACTATTGAAGACAATGCTTAAAGGACATATCTACTAATGCTGATACTTGCATGTCATATATCACTAGATTGTCTTACTACGTTTAAGAATGTTAAAAAATTTGCTTTCCCCTCAGTGCCACATATGTATAAATCTGTGATATTGCTGTGATTATGTTTGCTGTTGTGGCAACGTATATCATCTTGTCAAACCATGCACAACAAAAATAAAAAATTCAACCTCCCCCCCCCCAAAAAAAACAAGCTTTTGCCTTAAAGTAAGTAGGGAAGGTGAATGGACAAGTGAGTCCCGAGACCAGAGCATTTCAGAGATTGCTATTAGTGATAGAGAGGGGTTGATAGCTGTGTGTCAAAGAGTACTATTTGTGCTCTGTACCCAAAAAAGCATTATTTTAGGTAGAAAATACATGTGGTCAACCAGTAACCAATCAGCTGTTAACTTGCATGCATCATCTCTGTGTGCAAATATCATGCTAATAGTTTTATGGCAGTAATGCCCCTACAATACACCAATATGCCACTCCAGATGTGAGGTACATCAATAACAACCCGTGAAGCAATCATACCCCTTCATATGCTAACTTCTTATGGACAAATTTGGGCAGTATGAGATTTCATTTGGTGTTCCTGTGTAGCAGGATACCATAGAAATCAAAAAAGCCAGCAGGACATAAGTCACAAATTATGACTGTTTGACCAGATTCATGCCATTTGGGTGGTATGGCTATTTCAACCTGTCTATACAATTCTATATTTTAGGCACATCATAATAACCGGTACCAGGTACATGAGGCTCTTAATTAAGCACTAAAAGTTATATCACAGTGTTGAGATTACATCAACAACTTGTGCAGTGGTGCATAGTTGAGAACTTTGAGTTTATGTAAGTAATACAAGGGTTCCCAAAATGTAGATTCCTAGTATTAGAACCAGAACCTCCATGGTGATTTGCCATTAGAAAGGCTAGGAACATATTATGGTAGTTGTAGTTCTACAAGATCCACAAAATCTATGCTTTGGATATAATGCATTAACATGGCCGCAAACCTACCATGGGAGTACATTTTGCTTAATTTTACATGATCGTTTCTTTACAAACATGTTGACTCCTCCTAATGATTTTATTGCTGAAAATGTGTTCCTAAAATTGATCCCTTTATATTATATATTTGGTGCACCCAATCAACTATAACACAGGGGTGGCTAACACAAAGACCTTATAGCCCATAGCCCATAGTGACTGATGTATCCACACATAACGACCATGGATCTCTAAAATTACTTGAAAACAAACTTAAATCTTTTTATAATTAGGCTATTGGCATTTTGGAATGCCTGCTGGTCAGAGACAAAACTAGAAACCACAGGGCCCTGGTGCAAAAATTGGGCCTGGGCCTACTCCCTGTGTCTCATTCACCCCAGGCCCCTTCACATGTCTTATTCCCCTCTAGTCCCTCCACTTGTCTTATTCTCCCTCCCAAACCCCCCATGTGTCTCATCCTCCACCAGCCCCTCCACATGTCACTCCCATCCCACCCCTACATGTGTCTTGTTTCCTCCCCTTAGCCCCTCCATGTGTCTTATTCCCACCCACCCCTACATGTGTCTTATTCTCTCCCCTTAGCCCCTCCATGTATCGTATTCCCACCCCAACCCTCCATGTGTCTTATTCCCTCCCCTTAGCCCCTCCATGTGTCTTATTCCCTCCCCTTAGCCCCTCTGTGTGTCTTACTCCCTCCCCTTAGCCCCTCCATCTGTCTTATTCCCACCCCACCCCTCCATGTGTCTTATTCCCTCCCCTTAGCCCCTCCATGTGTCTTATTTCCTCCCCTTAGCCCCTCCATGTGTCTTATTCCCACCCCATCCCTCCATGTGTCTTATTCCCTCCCCTTAGCCCCTCTATGTATCTCATTCTTCCCCCTCCATGTGTCTCTCTCAGTGAGTCATGCTACCACGTAGTTACACCACTCTAGCTGCTAACAAAGGTATATATGATGGCGTTGATCCATCTGATATATTATTAAATGTAATTTTCTTATTGTTTATTTACTTTCACTCTGAGCTTTCAATAAATTAGATAATGTGTACCTATCATGGCGCACTCAAGTATGGCTATAAGTGGTCATGCTAGTTGCGGAGCTCCTGATCCTGACACTTGGGCCCAATCACATTTGAATCTTTTGTCACCTGTCCTGCCAGTTGCACTTTTTTTTTTTTACACATAAAACCGAACACATTCCTAATACCTCATTTTACTCGCTTGTTTAATGTTCATTATCTGGATGGTTGGACCGATAAAGTCTTCTACTGCCTGGGTAAACCTATCAAGTAGTTTTCATAAGGCTCTGTAAGCGTGTGTTTTGATGTGTGGTCTTTTAATTTAAATAATAGCCTAGTCTATTCCCTAGGGCAAATCTCCTGTTACCCTCCCTTGGCCTCCATGTGTTAGGAATGAGACGCCTTCTCCAGTTGCAGTATAATTATTGTAAGAGCCCTGGATGTTATCCAATGCCAGTTGAAGCTCATGCAGGTCATTGTGTGATTCTAGTCAAGGAGCGCGATGCAGTCTGCCTGTCTATCTCGGCGGTACAGACTCTAACCTGTCTGCCCTCTCTTGTTCGTACCTTCACTTATCCTAGTCCGAAGTCTTCCTGAGATCTGGATAACTGCTAAAGTGCAGAAAACGAACGAAAGCATCTGTCTGTATTGCAGCAAATCAGTCCAATATGTTTTTCCACCCTGCACACTGCTGTGATTCCTCATGTGGGAAAATGTAATCCCTTCATTTTTAGATGGGTCTGTAGAGCGCAGCATTGTAGTCTATTTTGGCAGAGAAGGGGAAAGACTATTAGGCTCTGACAGGCCTTGATAGAAATCTAATGAGCTGCTGGGCCGAGGATAGATTCGATCTGTCATTCCAGCTGCTGTGGATTGGAACTCCCAGGACGCTTGGCCAAACACGTTATATGCAGGCACTGGAAAAACAAAGGTTGTCTATGCATTCCTGGTAAAACATCACTAATTAATCCCACACACGAACGCACAAAATTATCATGTTTATTCATAAAGAACAAATGTATATTGCAGTGGATTACATAGCTCCAAGGGTTAATCTGTAGGGACCCTGAAAAATCAATGTACAGGGTCTTTTTTATTGGTGGAATTTTTAGAGACCCTGCGTTACATGTAGTTACTGCTGGATTAAACGTTCCAGGGGAGCAGTTGTCCCTGCACCTGCAAATTTATACTCCCATAAAACCTCCAGGTTATTAGATAAACATCATATATCCCCCCCACCCCCTCCTCCATCTCTACATGTTTGTGTTCCTATCTAACTGTATCTTTCTATCTCTCGGCTTATCCATCTTTGTCTATTTATATGTGTATCTGTCTGTCTATCCCTATCAGTATATTGATTTATCTATCCAGGGATTCTCAAGTGTGGCCATCATCTTGATCAGATTTGGCAACAAAGTAAATGTGTTTAAAAAAACATTGCTTTTGATTAATTGAGCTTGAGTACAATATCCTTTATGAGGTCACCAGAACACCTATCTAACTTCTGTCTGTCTGTCTGTCTGACTGTCTGTCATGTCATCACTTGCCTAATAGAAGTTATGGTTCAGGTGTTATCTTGTTACAATTAACACTGACATTTGAACAAGAACTATCATATACCCATGGTTTGGACATAAAGCACTTGTGGTCTGCGATTTATGGGATACATTCAGTACAGCTTTAAAATATTAAGAGAGCTTAATGAGTGACAGGGTCGCTTTCTGCTCTGGGTACAGCTCACTGCAGAGTCTGCAAATCTAGTAGAAATTTGCAGCAAATGCAAGAAACTCAAATGAGACTTTTTTTAATTTGTGCAATGTTTGGATATTTGAATGCGTTATCTGTATAAAACATTAAGCAATGAATGGGTAAACTCAAGCCTGGCGTTTCCCTTTTAACCCATGCACTGGTACTTGAGTCGATACATCTGACTTCTTTTTTGTATCATTCACTTCAAACTTCTGCTTTTTCCTGGGTTTCACAAGGATCTTGTTTCTAGACTTTTCTCTCACTACACCTTATCTCCTCACAACATTGCAGCATAATTTGGTTTTCACTAACAAATGTGCAAATTATATAGAAAAACAACCAAATACATACCCTTCCATTAATATTCCATTTTGCATTCTATTTACTCAATGACAGTGTTAAGCTAAGCTTAGTCTTATGCTCTAAATAGTTTTATAGCAATTAATTTCTTAGGCACAAACTTGCAAAATTTAGCATCCGCAAATTCCCCTCATCCAGGAGATAAACCCCAGGGTGTATGAAGTACTGCCGAATTTGTTGGCACCATATGAGTAAATTATGTTAATTTTATCGGTGTCTGTATGTCTGCAAGACTTAATTCAATTTATTTTCCATTTGCAAAGTGACGCTGTTATTGTTGTATTTATAAAGAAGAACGATCATACCATTACTGATAATCAGTTTCTGGGTGTATCTACAATGTCAATATTCGGAAAATGTAAGTGCTTCACACCATCATTTTCCCTTTTCACACTTCCTCGCACACTTCGCACACCGTGGTGAGAATGTATTAATCCATTCTCTGCCAGTGAAAGCGTGTACAAGGCTTGCGCAACTGGAGACCTCAGGGCTAGATCTGTTCTCTTAAGGGATTAAATCCTTCTCACAGTATTGTCTGTGAGGCAAAGCAGGCGGGAGAGAATCAGCCAAGTTAGAGAGGTATTCCCCGTGGCGACCTCTGAGTGCTGAATGGGCATCGAATCGCAAACTGTGCTGTAGACAGAAAAAGAGACATATTTTGGTAATGTGTAAAGAACTTAATGACGTTTCTTATAAACACTATGGGGCTCCATGCTTCACAAGTAAGGAAGTCCTGATTTGTCAAAATAAACCTACTGGGGAATGTATAAAAAGAATCACTAGAATAATAAATTAATTTATCTAATGGTGTGTGTTTTTTTTCTGTTTGTTTTGTGATGTCAAATTGTACAACTCAAGCAGGATCCGTTTTATTTTATTATTTGTGGGAGGATAATTTAAGGACAACGTGATGATGATTATTACAGCATTTGTTCATTTGCAGCTGAAGCCAGAAAATACAGTAGTTCTATGAATCAGCGATAGCAATATTTGTGATAAATCATGGCCTTTTATATGGTCACATTTTCAAATATATAATCAACACTTTTTCTGCAACTGACTTTTTATTTGTCAAATCATATACCGTTTAGAATAAGAAAACAAATTTTAGTAGCCATTTATAGCTAACTAGGAGGTATAGGAAAAGGTATACAGGGTTTATACTATTAATCTAAATATCTAATTTAGATAATATTCTATAAACACTTATATTCATATTATTTATTTGTAACTAATATGTGTATATATGTGTGTATGTGTGTGTGTATATATATATATGTGTATATATATATATACACACACACACACACACACACACACACACTGATCAACCACAACATTAAAATTACCTGCCTAATATTGTGTAGGTCCCCCAAATACCCTGTGATATATGGCACCAAGACATTGGCAGCAGATCCTTTAAGTCCTGCAAGTTGCATGGTTGGGCCTCCACTATATTAAGTTAGCTTAGGAGTGTCTGTTTAAGGATTCCAAATTAAGGTGGAATGGCGCAGGGCTGTATAGAGCAATAATGCCAAAGATGCCTTATACGATGAGCAGTTGGTGTTGTAAGACTCTGTGAGTTGCTGTTTATATTTTACCTTTCACTTTGAGGTTATATCAGGGCAGTATGTATATATTAATATTCATTACAAATACATATAATGTGCAAATCTGGTGTTAGCGTGAATGGGTACCAACTATATCCTGAATACCGTGTAAAAAGGACTGAGACTTTTTATTGAATTATTATGGGTTAATGGACACTTATTGTGTTTTGTCCAAAAAATAAAATCATTTTTGAACCATTAGGATACACAGTGTAAGTGCTGTCGTATTCCAGCCTTCTATCACTTAAGAGGTTAACTGAAATTAGTTTGTTAAAGATAATAACAAACATACCAGAGATGTGTTTAAATAACAACCAAGTGATGCTGTTAAGTCATTATTTTTAGGGAATCTCTGCATGATGGCATTCCGAGTGTCCAGGATGTACTAACTGTTGTACACGCAGCCATTTACAAGCAAGATTCATGGAGGAAAACACGTTTCTAAATTCCTTCAACTCCATCAACACCCAGATGGTCTGTGACACCAGAATGATGTGTATGCAGGTGCCCTGTGCTCTAACCTGTGGATTTTAGAGTTACACATCTCATACATGGGAATCAGTTTGATTAGTGGCTGCTTACCACTACTAGCCACTGTCAAGGAAATGTTGTTATAATCAGGGCCAGACTGATCCACCTGGACACCGGGAAATTTCACGGTGGGCCGCATAGCACTCTCACAGCTTCATTACGAGTAGGATGGAAAACAGAGACAGAAAGCAACCGCAGCCAGTTTCATTAACATTGGGCCGCAGCCGCATTGAGGTGAGTGAGCATGTCACATGGCCCTTTAAATTGATTTAAATACCACGACAGAGAATTCACATTTAGCCACGTTAATTTTGAAGATGTCATTGTCTGGAAAGATCCTGGTGAGGTCTCCCTGCTTGCTTGCCCTCTGCTCCTGGATCATTGCTGGGATTTTCCATCTACCCAGCACCACTCTCTGTGTAAAGGAGTGTCTTCTTTCATGTTGGAGTAATAGTTTTCAATTTGACATTATCTCTATATCTGCACACTATGTTGGCGCAACGCATTATTGGGCTGGAATATAATTTTTTTTTGCATGGCTGCTTTTAGTTCCCAGTCCGGCCCTGGTTTTAGTTAACTTTCAGGAATGCAACTTGGAAGAGGGGAACGTGCCATGCTGTCAGTAATGCTTTCTTTCTCTCATGTCAGATGATGCACTGCACACCTGCAACCTTTACAATTCAAATGGTTGCTGTATCAGAAGAATGGAATGGAATGGAGATGAAGGGGGTACTATGCCAGAGAGACCCATTTTGGAGTATTTTGCATGTTAGTGCTATTTCTTCAATCACTGTAATTGCACATGCTACACCCAGGTTCTGCTTATAACACGGCCAGTAATATTGTCTCTTGTTATCTGATTTACTGCATGATTGAAAGCGATAGTGTGTAACCCAAACACATCCCCTGCCGTAATAACCCAAAGCTGAACCATACAGCTCAGAATACAATAATTGTCATAACAATGAGGTTCCCTCCGTGGAGGCATGTTTCTTGCAGGTACTAATGGCACCATTTACACCAGCTCACAGAATCAATGTGTCGAATCACTGGCAGGGAGCAGGTATAATGAGGCTCGCATACGGATAGATGTGACTGAATGAACATTTGGACCCTGACTTAAAGAGTCAGTGTTTTTACGCTGTTGTCCCCATCTCTCTTCTAGCCTCCCCCCTTTCTGCCCTGTCCTGCCACTATAATGATAACTGATGCAGGAGGCCTATCAAGAAATGGCTGCCGCTATGAGGCCATTCTAAGCACCATTTTAGTTACCCGTGCCTCTAAGTATATTAACAGGGCCCAATCCATGCCCCATTAACACTGTACAAGTAAAGCTTTGTGTTTGGGAAAGAAGTACAATTGAATTTACGGTCACACTGGGACGACGCCTGGTTTATGCCATGCTAGGTAACAGATAATTGCCTGTGTTCCCACATAATATTCTGAGTTTCCACCACCTACTATGCTCTACCACAGTGTTTAGCTAGTTATACCATTCTCTGTGCAAATCGAAAGCTATGTGATTATTTCCTGACAGGCCTCTTCTTTGTTCTTACTGGGATTGCTCGTTTGTTAAGAAGCACCGTGTCCAACCGTTGCTGAAAATAATGTGCACTGTGAGCCAGCTGCTATCAGACATCAGTAAGGCCTAGGCACACTAATGCAGCAAGAAAGAAGGGTGGTAGCCTCCTTAAAGGCACAGACACCTATATACTAGGAGCCGGGTATAAGGGCTCCTTACAAGGTGAGAAGCCATTTATTTTAATATTCACCATTGTTCAGTGTGATTTACTACACAAGGACCTGTCCCTCTTTTACTTCCTTTATGTATGCATAAGGACCATAGAAGACATTTGGGATCGATTGGGTATTGTGTCGCCTAAGTACACACATGCCGTTGTGATCTGAGCCTAACCCAATTGGCTGAGCTACATGTGAGTGGGTCTATTTATTTACTTATTGTGTTTGTTACCTAGCGTTACTTGCACTATTTGTATTTATATTTGTTTCAGATTCACTGTTTTTTCCTTCTGTACGTTTGTATGCATACCCATATGGGTAAGTTGATCATTATTTGAGCGCTCCACATATACACTAGTGGTGTTTTTTTTCTAAATTTCCTACACTGAGAGTTCACTTTGTTCACTTTCATACATAGGGTGGAGAGTCCCTATTCACAGTGGTAGCTACTATTAATATTTTACGGAAAAAGATAAGCGCCTTAACACACTGCCTTTGTATTTACTTGTGGACATAGACATGGGGACACTGGGAGACATGGGGACACCAACAGTTGGGGAAACTGAGACACTAGGAACACTGGCTGGGAGACATAGGGACACTGGGAGACAGGGGACACAGACATTTGTGGACAATGGGACACTGTATCCCTAGTGTCTCTGTGTCCCAGTGTGTCTCCCAATGACCCTATGTCTCCCAATGTCAGTATGTCTCACAGACGTCCCAATGTGTCTGTGTCCCCATGTCTCACAGTGTCCCCTAGTGTTTCAGTGTCCCCAGGTCTCCCACTGTCCCCTAGTGTCTCAGTGTTCCCATGTTTCCCTGCTGCCTTCCCCCTCCCCCTCATCCTTCACTTACCTGAGCTGTAGGCTGTCTCTGCAGGCTGGGAGCAGCTGTCTGAACTCTCTGTGCTGTGTAGCTGCCCCCCCCCCAGATCAGTGAGTAGAGAGAGGCAGGGAGGGATATGCTGTAACTTCCTATCCCTGCCTCTCTCCACGCACAGTGATCCCTACTGGCTGGTGCTGGTATTGCAGAATAATCTCTGTTTATACTGAAAAAAAATATGCATTTGTATTGCCAGTAAAATACCAGTCAGGTGGCAAACCTAAGAGTAGTGTGCAAAAAAAAAACAAAAAAGTAAAAAAATAATATATATATATATATATATATATATATTTTTTTTTTTTTTTTAAATCAATGGGCCTATTCCATGGGCCTGGTCCTGGAGCTGCAGCTCCATCAGCCCCTATGTTAATCCGGCCCTGCCTAAACAGCCTTCCTAAACACGTCATGTAAAGAGAGCTAGAATGTTGAAACTTCCTTTATTGCACATTGTTTTTAATTTATAATTTTGTATCTCCTGCTGTTAATAGCCTTCTAGATCCTGCAGGAGCCACACTGTGCAGCACTGAGTTTTAGAGTCTCCAAACTCAGCACGGAGGCACTGAACTTTCCCCATAGAGATGCATTGAGTCATTGTAACCGGACCCGCCAGGCACTGGAAAAAGGTAAATAAAATCACATGTCTAACTGGAGGTAAGGGGGAGGAGGGGTCAGGGGCCAAAACAGCTATTTAGACCTATAGTGTCAGGAATACACATTTTTATTACTCAGTTTTCCTAAAACAGTTATGATGCCTATAGTATCCCTTTAAGGACCCTGGCCAAATCCCCATATGAGGGGTCAAGTGACCTCTTACACTTGTATTACAATTATGCGCCTATGATTAAGTGTTAAAGAGCAAAGTACTTTTTTTTGTTTGTGAGTGGTTGATTGTTTTTAATTTGCATAGGCCTATTTGGCACATTTACATTATATACAGGGATATTCACTAAAGAGTTAATTGTCTGGAATTCAAATCCACATTTACAGTAAGGCCAAAATAGCCAAACTGGAAAAATTCTCCAAGTCAATTATGCTTCCAGTTCAGCTACTTTGGATTTAAATGTGAAATTCACTAGGACTTCACTTCGAATTCCCAATATTCTTACTTTGATGAGTAAACCTGGTTTGTGGTTTGGTTTTTAAAAGAGAAATGAATCTAAGCAAACAATTCCACTGCGATGGGGTTCAAAGAGTTAATATTGACCTGGGCATTGTGCATCCATCAGCCTTCAATCGGTTGTCTCTGCAGTTTGGAATGTAACTATTAAACAGTCTGCCGTTTATATGAAAATTCCCAGATCCAGACATTGGAGAGGATTCCTTTGACTGAAAGAAGTTTGGAAAACTGGTGTAGATATTTTGGGGAGAGCTCTTCTGAAGACATGCATTACTATTCTGGAACGGCTGCAAAGGCTATGAATTTGTTTTTCAGGAGCACATGGCGCTCATTGCCCTGATGAGATTATCCATACCAAATCACCTTCCCAGATGGTTTACTCAGTTACAACTCACATGAAAGAAGATCTGGCGATGTTTATTCGTCGTATGATCCGTAG